TTTAACTATATGTGTATAGTAAAAACTTAAAAAAATCTTCTTTTAAAAAGCCCATTGAGCTAGAGCTTAGATGTTTAGCATGAAACATTTTCTTATGGGTGTCTACCAAGTTTGTGCAAATAAAAGCCCTTGGGTTAAATTGACCCTTCAACATTGGGGGTGGGGGTTGGGGGGACTATATACAGGTGAGCGAACTCAGGGCCATCATGGCCCTCTTGTTATTGAAGTTTTATCCAAATTTGTACTTGGCCTTGTTAATTATGATGTCATTGTTAAAATTTTCATGATGTAAACACACTACAGGGAGTGTATTTTTTAGCAACCTATATGTATACTTTAAAGAAAAGAAAAAAGAGGTATTTCTATACACTTGATTGCATTCCTGTTGCTGTTGGCCAAAAATACTTTACGTTTTACACTAACTAAATAACATTAAAGTATTTTATAAATATGTTACTTGTTTTAAATAAGAAAATCTAGTTAAGATCTATTCCTGAAGGTGAGCGATATTGGGCCATCATGGCCCTCTTGTTATTTATAGGGTTTCTATTTATAGAATTGCGTAATGTTTCTATTATAGAATTGCGTAATGTTTCTATTTATAGGGTTTCTATTTATATAATTGCGTAATGTTTCTATTTTTAGAAATTGTGTAATGTTTTTATTTTTAGAAATTGCATAATGTTTCTATTTATAGAATTGGGTAATGTTTCTATTTATTGAATTGCATAATGTTTCTATTTATAGAATTGCGTAATGTTTCTTTTTATAGAATTGCGTAATGTTTCTATTTACAGGGTTTCTATTTATAGAATTTCGTAATGTTTCTATTTTTAGAAATTGCATAATGTTTCTATTTTTAGAAATTGTGTAATGTTTCTGTTTTTTGAAATTGCGTAATGTTTCTATTTTTAGAAATTGCGTAATGTTTCTATTTTTAGAAATTGCGTAATGTTTCTATTTTTGAAATTGCTTAATGTTTCTATTTTTAGAAATTGTGTAATGTCTTTTTTTAGAAATTGCGTAATGTTTCTATTTTTAGAATTGTGTGTTTCTATTCATATATATATACAAAATAGATAAACAAAACTAATGTGACAAGACAGACCAACTAAATTTATAAAAAGGAAATGTTAAGATATGTTCAAACCTTTCTATGTTTGCGTTTAGAAAAAGTAAAGGTCGAGCGTTGCCCCCGCCCGGCGGTGGCTCTTGTTTTCAACTTGTGTTGCATGTAACTCAAAAAGTATTTGACCTAGAGTCATGAAATTTTACAGGAATGTTGATCAGCATGTGTAGTTGTGCACCTGGGTATTTTCGTATGGATTTATTTAGTATTTTTAGAGTTATTGCCCTTGACTTAGTAAAATTTTGCAATTTTCAACTTGTGTGGCATGTAACTCAAAAAGGATTTGACATAGACTCATTAAATCTTACGGGAAAGTTGCTCAGCATATTTAGTTGTGCACCTGGGGTTTCGCTTGTGGATTTATCAAGTATTTCTAGAGTTATTTCCCTTTACTTAGTAAAAACTTTCATTATGTTGTTATTTGTTCCTTGATTGCTCGAGTTAGAATCAACCAACTTTACAGGAATAATGATTCACATCACTGTGAAGCTATATACCTGGGACTTTGCATGTGGATTTTTTTCAGTTTTGTAAGAGTTATTGCCCTTGACTTACAGTAGTATAAATTTGCAATTTTCAACTTGTTCATGCATGCATGTAGCTCAAAAAGTATTTCACTTGTAGGCCTGAAAGTTTACAAGATTACTGGTTAGCATGTGTACTTACTGGTATGCACCTTGGGGTTTGCTTGTGGATTTATTCAGTATTTGTAAAGTTCTTGCCCTTTACTTATTATAAGATTTTTAGTTTTCAAAAAATGTTTGACCTAAAGTCATAAGATTGACAGAACAGTGGCGCGATGGGGGCACGCGTGTCCTAAGGCCACATTTCTAGTTTAAAACCATGTCACTGGAAACAAACATTCTTTTGTTAGGCCTTATAATGAGAACTATAAAACAACATGAATAAGCCGGCAATAACTTTGGTTCATTCTGTTGAAATAGGCAGTGACAATTTGGCTGATCTAGGTTCATTAATGAACATACTTGCAATTTATGATAAATATATAATATTTGTTGTCTGCATTTAAATTTTTAGGCTATTTTTTTGTAATAATTTCATACAAGTGTCCATAGTACTGTGCAGCTATGATAATTAACCCTTTCCCCCATGAGCATATTGTGAAAAATGGCCGTTTTCACTGAAAAGCCTCCTGTTACAAGTTCAAACTGCTATGAAACTATGAAAAATGCTTCAATACTAATCAAACTTGGCACAAATGTTGACTGGACCATTGCCTTTGTAAAGGCATGCTCAGTCTTAAATTTCCTGTTACTATGGCAACGAGGGGACATCTCAAAATTGCCAAAAATCACTATTTTGCCTCGATTTTTTCCATCAAAATTTATTTCAAAGTGCTGCAACTGCTCAAGGGATTGAGATAGAGTCAAAGGCTTTTTCAGCGTTGGTTAAACGTTACATTATGATCGATCTGGGGTCATTTTTAGCCTCTCACAAGTCCAAAATTTTCTTGGCGATGAGGGGGACTCCGCCCCCCTTCAAACCCCCCTTCTGGCAACCCCCTGATGTATCTTTTGGATGGGGGGCGGCGCCGAAAAAGTGCTCAATTTTTTTAGCAACATTTCTCAAACAAAAACTCATGTTTGGGGCCCAAATAGGACATTTTTTCACTATTTGAGGCCTAAAAAAGGGGGGGGTCGAAAGTGCGTTGTTATATGTGGTAAAGGGTTAATGATTGATGTTGCATTTTTTGTGTACGCTTAAGTTTACAACCTTTGTCGGAAAAGGTAAAACAGGGTTTTTAGAAGCAAATACAAATGTATATTAAGATAAACAAAATTTGAAATATCTTGATTGCAAAGTTAATTAAGTCAAAAGGCTGCCATATAAAATAAATTTTATTATAAGTTCCAAGGTTCTCACTAGGACTTTCAAACATGGAGTCCATGGACTCCCAAGCCTAAAAAAGTTTGAGTCCACAATTGCGTCGCAATTAATATGTTTACAGATTAGTCATTTAATTCTTACAGTAGCATTGCTGATATTTTGAATCTTTAAGAGACTTTCAAAGTTTATAGTTATTCAAAACAAACTCTGAATTACATAGTATAATTATTGTTTTGTTAATATTTATTATGAAAATAACATTATAATGCATCAACAAATGGAAGTTGTTTGTTTTTTTTGTTTTGTTCACTTTAATTCCAAATCAAATTTTTATTCTGGTTAAAAAAAAACACTCTAAAGACCAAAAGTTTATATTTGTAAAAAAACGTAAATGTATATAGGCAGCAATTAGCGGAATGAATAGGAAAATCCTGTACAGCTTCACACAGTGTATAAGAGATTCATCAGATCAACAATTATTTTAGCAAATATCTTCAAAAGGGGGCAAATTGAAGATCGATATTTAAAGATTTAATATTGATTAAATAACAAAGAAACAATTCATTCACATGTTAGGCTTGGAAACTGAGAATTTTTGTGCCCTTTGCGAAATTTTTGGGTTTCTGGCAAATGTGAAATTGACAATGTTCGGGATCAATTTTCAGATAGAATCTAAATATCAAAGAAAAGTGTATGTGTATAATTTTGGTTTGTTGTCCTGGCATTTCAGCACAATATCTTAAATTCTTAATACTCTTATAAAATGTTTTTGCAAGAATGAAAACTAAAAGCAAATTTTTGCCAAGAAAATGCCAAAAATATTTGACATTAAGTCATAATTACACTCATTTGTAAACTTGTGGCGTAAATAGACTATTGTTAATCCTTTTGTCGGTAAAATTTGCTAATTTCCTATCAACTGTTGATCAAAGATTAAAAATTATCACCTCGTTTAAATATGGTTATTACATGTACAGCGCGTGTATACATTAGCCTGATCTCCATCGTGTGATAATGATCAAAAGCGTTATCGCTGATTGGCTAATCACTTCACTGGTCAATGTGCATTGGACCGCCTATCTATAGACTGACACACACTGAAGTATTTGTTGTTGTAAACAATCGGTAATGTTTATGCGTCCCCAGGCAAAATTAAACGTACACGGAATCCTTGCTTTGAAATATTTGCATCCAGCTATAATAAACATGGGTATCGGGACGCTGAAATTCACCTCGTTTAAATATGGTTATTACATGTACAGCGCGTGTATACATTAGCCTGATCTCCATCGTGTTGGTTCTAACTGAAGCACTCAAGGATCACATACATGTAACACAACATAATGAAACAGTTTTTATTAAGTCAAGGGCAATAACTCTAAAAATACTGGACAAATATACAAGCGGAACCCTGGTGCACAACTACACAAGTTGACCAACCTTCCTGTTAAGTTTCATGACTCTAGGTTAAGAACTTTATGAGCTACAAACGTCGCAATAGTCTCTATTGACTTTTCATAGCAACATGAAAAAGAGACTTTCTCAGCTATCATTGACTTGCCCTAATTAAGCAACCATCGGCTTGCATTGCAACCATTAATTTTCCTTTGCAATCACTGATTTCCATATCAAATTTTGGCTTTCTGTAGCAAACATTGACTCTAGATTTAGATTTTGTAGTGTTGGGAGTAACTGCTTTAAAATTTGAACCTTCTAAATAATATAGTCTTACAAATTTATAAATCGTTGATATTGATTATGCTCCAACCACCTTCTTTTTGTGCTTTGAAATTTAGACTATAATGTGCACTTTTTCAGATCCATGAAGATAACAGTTGACATGACCTTATTATTATTAAGTTATATCTGATTTTCATTCATAGTTATTGGTATGAACTGTCCCATAACATTCAGAAGGACAGATTGTAGAAATATCTTATTAAGATTGCCAGTAATTGTGATGTTTGGAGATTTTATTTGTTCAATAAAATAATGAAAAAGATATTTTCCAACTCTTTTTCAGTCACTGGTATCAGTTTCACCATTAGCAGGGAAAGGGTTTTACTTGGAAGTACTGGTACATTAACATTAACATGTGATATCACTGAAACAGATGTGGAAACTATATACAACATCCAGATAAAACAATTAAAATCTACTACATTGTCTGGGGATAATGACGCTGATTGGCAAAGATTAGCATATATGAAACTATCTGCTAATGAAAACCCTACATTAGATTCAAATATTACACCAGGTGACAAAGATTATGTTGCTGGAGGATCGTGGAATTCTGAAACACCTGCTAGCACAGATCTTACACTATCTATGAACATGGAGAAGTTAACATGTGATGATGCAAGGACATATAGATGTGAATTGTCATATGAAAATTCACAGCAAGCTACAGCAACAGTCTTTAGTAATGCCACTTTCACAGCATATGGTAAAGTTATTACATTTTATTATAGTACAGTCACTGCAGCACTCACATTTTAAGCCAGATGTGTTGCAAAAAAAAAGCTAAAAATAGACTGATATGTAAACTTAAATAATGACAAAGAGATAATGGAAGGTCTGCAATACAATGAATGATTTCTTTGATAAAATCACAATATTATTATACGTTGAAGTTGTTGGCAAGTGTGAGATACATGATCATGATGATGGTATATATTATATATATATATATATATATATATATATATATATATATATATATATATATATATATATATATATATATATATATATATATATATATATAGTATAGCAGAATGACAATAAAATGAGCTAGAACAAAAATTATTATTCACCACAAAAATGTTCATTCAACATCAAATAGAACTTAATGGACATTTTTATGCTCCCGAAGGGTGGCTTGTTAAAATTGAACTGTCCATCCGTCCCCCTTTTATACATATACACAGTGGTGGTTGTGTCCGCTGTAAACCTTCAGTATGCATGAAAGGATTTTAATTTTTCTGTCATATATGAAATAACCATAGATGTATGGTGTGTCACAAATAAGACTAGGGTTCCTACGACTAAGGTCAGGTGTTTGTGGGGCTTCAAACTTTGTTATTTTTAGCTGGACTATTTGATACGAATAAGTAGAGCTATTGTAGTCACCCGAGTGTTGCCGTCGTCGTAACCACTTATGTTAAAGTTTTTGTAATACCTCAAATATTTTCAAAGTCCATTGACATATGGCTTTGAAACTTTGCACACTTGTTCACCATCATTACCCCAACTTGTAGACAGGAGGAGGTAACTCTATCAAGCATTTTGACAGAATAATGCCCCTTTTTCGACTTAGAATTTACGTTAAAGTTTTTGTAATACCTCAAATATTTTCATAGTCCATTGACATATAACTTTGAAACTTTGCACACTTTGTCACCATCATGACCCAAACCTGTAGAGAGGAGGAGGTAACTCTATCAAGCATTTTGACAGAATTATGCCCCTTTTTCGACTTTGAATTTATGTTAAAGTTTTGTAATACTTCAAATATTTTCAAAGTCCATGGACATATGGCTTTGAAACTTTGCACACTTGTTCACCATCATGTTCCCAATATGTAGACAGGAGGAGGTAACTCTATCAAGCATTTTGACAGAATTATGCCACTTTTTCGACTTAGAATTTACGTTAAAGTTTTTGTAATACCTCAAATATTTTCATAGTCCATTGATATATGGCTTTGAAACTTTGCACACTTGTTCACTATCATGACCCCAACATGTAGACAGGAGAAGGTAACTCTTTCAAGCATTTTGACAGAATTATGCCCCTTTTTCGACTTAAAATTTACGTTAAAGTTTTTGTAATACCTCAAATATTTTCAAAGTCCATTGATATAATTATGGCTTTGAAACTTTGCACACTTGTTCACCATCATGACCCCAACATGTAGACAGGAGGAGGTAACTCTATCAAGCATTTTGACAGAATTATACCCCCTTTTCGACTTAGAATTTATGTTTAAGTTTTTGTAATACCTCAAATATTTTCAAAGTCCATTGACATATGGCTTTGAACTTTGCACACTTGTTCACCATAATGACCCCAACATGTTGACAGGAGGAGGTAACTCTATCAAGCATTTTGACAGAATTATGCCCCTTTTTAGCTCGACTATTCGCAGAATAATCGAGCTAATGCAGTCACCCATTTGTCGGCGTCGGCGTCCCTGTGGTTAAGTTTTTGTATGTAAGCTGGTATCTCTATAACTACTGAAGGGAATGGATTGAAACTTCACACACTTGTTCTCTGTGATTATCTAAGATGATTGGCACAAGTCCCATAACTCTGATTTGCTTTTTTTCATAATTATGCCCCTTTTTCGACTTAGAAATTCTTGGTTAAGTTTTTGCGTGTAAGCTGGTATCTCCATAACTACTGAAGGGAATGGATTGAAACTTCACACACTTGTTCTCTGTGATTATCTAAGATAATTGGCACAAGTCCCATAACTCTGATTTGCTTTTTTACATAATTATGCCCCTTTTTCGACTTAGAAATTCTTGGTTAAGTTTTTGCGTGTAAGCTGTTATCTCCATTACTACTAGAGGGAATGGATTGAAACTTCACACACTTGGTCTCTGTGATTATCTAAGATGATTGGTACAAGTCCCATTACTCTGATTTGCTTTTTTGCATTATTATGCCCCTTTTCGACTCATGAATTCTTGGTAAAGTTTTTGCATGTAAGCTTGTATCTCCATAACTACTGAAGGGAATGTATTGAAACTTGAAGAGTTTGTACCTTTTCAGACAATTTTATGTATTCATATAGGTAAGCATTATTATACTCAATGAAACACCCTTGTGACAAATTTTCGAATAGTTGAGCGTTACTGTCCTCTGACAGTTCTTGTTCTACTTAGAATTTACGTTAAAGTTTTTGTAATACCTCAAATATTTTCAAAATTCATTGACATAAGAATTTGAAACATGTTGAAATTTTATACTGTTCTATGAGAGCATAATAGGACTCTCTGCAAGGCCTATAACTGTAATATGGATTTAAAGAAAAAATTTTGCCTCTTTATGCCACCGCAGCATCTGCGATGCATTGGCATTAGATGCTGTGGTGGCATATATATAGCGATTCACCTGTGTGTTTGTTTGTGTGTGTGTGTGTGTTATATAGATTATATAGTGAACTTAAAAAATCTTCTTGTGAAAAACCACTAGTCCAATTTAAACCAAACATGGCCAGATTGATCCTTGGGTGAAGGGCTTTTTCCAAAGTTGTTCAAAGAATTTCATTCCATGCTGAAATCTGGTTGCCATGGCAACCAAAAGTAATTATGAGAATAAATTTAAAAAATCTTCTTGTAAAGACCCAAAAGGCCTATAGCTTAGATATTTTGCATAAGGCATTGTCCTACCAAAGTTGTTCAAAGATTGCCTCTAGTGTCAAAGTCAGCCCCCATAGGTTTTTCTTATATTGTTATAAATTCTTCTCTCTTGTAATTTATAATTTCTACTACTTCCATAATTTCCTTTGCATAAAATAAACAATAACTGTTTTCCGTTTCATTTCACCATTTATTTATTTGAAAGTGTCCTAAATTTCTAATCTACAATTAATATTTAAAGTTACAGTTTTTCTTTCTCACACATGGTTGATAAGTCACTCAATTTTTACTATTTAGCTCTTAAGATCTCATTCTTGAAACTTCCATCTAAAATCCTGAATCTTGACTCTTCAATCTAGAAACTTGAATGTTAACTCTAGCTCTTACAATCTTACTCTTGCATTTTGAATCTTATTCTTCAACCTTCAATCTAGAATGCCCCTAGAAAATCGTGTCCCAGTATTTATATGAAATACCTAGTCTCTCCATATTTGGAGGTTACCTTAGTGTTAATTGACAAATCTAAGCCTTCTATATTTATGACGACAAGTGTTGATCAAGTAACTGTACCAGAAACAAACAGACTGATTCCTGGAATATTTATGATGATAACCAATGATTGAGTTCCCTAAACACAACAATTGCAGGCCTCCTCTTCATAATTTATGCAGGTACCCGTTGACAGAGTTACCATACTAAAATCTCCCAGACTGATACACAGTCTAGCCCCAACAGATTTATAGTAATAAATAATGACAACAAATGAGGTCTCAATTCTCATACAAACTCAATCATTAAATCAAACCTTAACCAGGTGCCTTGCTAAAACTACAACAATATGTATATTGTAAAAACTTTAAAAATCATCTTCTCTAAATTCACAAAGGCTAGAAGTTAGAAATTTTTGCATGAAACATTGTGTAGTGCACCTTTAGCAAGATTGTACAAATTATAGCCCTGGGGTCAAAATTGCCTCCCCCCCCCCCCCCGGGGGGTCATTGATTTTCAATATGTACATATAGTAAAAAATCAAAAAATCTTATGTTTGAAGGTACAAGCCTTAGAGCTTTAATATTATACGCCCGTTTGAAAAACGGGACGTATTATGGGAACGCCCCTGGCGGGCGGGCGGCGTCCAATTTTGTCCGGAGCATATCTCCTACATGTATGGAGGGATTTTAATGAAACTTCATAGAAATGTTCACCACTATGAGGAGCAGTGTCGCGCACATGAACCAGGTCTCTAGGTCAAAGGTCAAGGTCACACTTAGAGCTCATTGAAAAATGCTTGTCCGGAGCAAAACTTCCACATGTATAGAGGGATTTCAATATAACTTGGCACAAATGTTCACCATTGTGAGACGGAGTGTCGTACGCAAGATTCAGGTCCTTGCGGCCAAGGTCAAGGTCACACAGAGAGGTCAAAGTTCAGATAAAAATATGAAGATGTGTATATGGACCATTTAGTCATCATTTATTGAGGGATTGTAACACAAATGGTCATTATCACGACTATGGCTGTGATACATATAATTTACGTCAATATATACAAGGTCAAGGTCACTAAAGATGATGAAATATCCAGATTTTGTCCGGAGCATATCTCCTACATGTATGGAGGGATTTTAATGAAACTTCATAGAAATGTTCACCACTATGAGGAGCAGTGTCACGCACATGAACCAGGTCTCTAGGTCAAAGGTCAAGGTCACACTTAGAGCTCATTGAAAAATGCTTGTCCGGAGCAAAACTTCCACATGTATAGAGGGATTTCAATATTTCTTGGTACAAATGTTCACCATTGTGAGGAGGAGTGTCACACGCAAGATTCAGGTCCTTGCGGCCAAGGTCAAGGTCACACATAGAGGTCAAAGTTCAGATAAAAATATGAAGATGTGTATATGGACCATTTAGTCATCATTTATTGAGGGATTGTAACACAAATGGTCATTATCAAGACTATGGCTGTGATACATATAATTTAGGTCAATATATACAAGGTCAAGGTCACTAAAGATGATGAAATATCCAGATTTTGTCCGGAGCATATCTCCTTCATGTATGGAGGGATTTTAAT